ATCTCCGACCGGGCTCGGCCCGAACAAGCGACGTGAGCCCGCCTTCCAGCAGGCCCACCACCCACAGGAAGGCCCACAAGGGGTCGGTGCATTGCGAATTGGGTGGCGGTCGTGGGCGGGATCCCCGACGGCCCAATCCTTGGACATCTGGTCTAACTATGGGGACATGGAATGTCACCTCACTGGGGGGGGAGAGAGCCCGAACTTGTGCGAGAGGTCGACCAATACCGGCTAGATATAGTTGGGCTCACCTCCACACACACTCTGCACTCTGGGACCCAAATCTTCGAGAAAGGCTGGACTCCTTTTTACTCTGGAGTTGCTTGTGGTGAGAGGCAACGTGCTGGTGTAGGCTTGCTTATAGCCCCCCAGCTCGCCAGCTGTGTGTTGGATTTCTCCCCACTGAGCGAGAGGGTCGCTTCCCTGTGCCTTCGGGTCGGAGATAATTCTCTCACTGTCGTTTCGGCCAACGGGCCAAATGGTAGTGCAGAGTACCCGGCCTTCTTGCAGGCACTGGGACGGGTTCTGGAAAGTGCTCTTCCCGGGGATTCCATCATCCTGCTGGGGGACTTCAACGCTCACATAGGCAACAACAGTATCACCTGTAGGGAAGTGATCGGGAGGAACAACTTCCCCGATCTGAACCCAAGTGGTGTTATTGGACTTCTGTGCTGGCCACAGTCTGTCCATAATGAACACTATGTTCCAATACAAGGGGGTCCATCACTGCACGTGGCACCAGGACACCCTAGGGCGGAGGTCCATGATTGACTTTGTAATCGTGTCATCTGACCTCTGGCCATACATCTTGTACACTAGGGTAAAGAGAGAGGTGGTATCATCAGGGTCTGTTGGGAGTGTCTTGCGGAATCCCCTATAAGGGAGGCCTTAAACTCCCACCTTCAGAAGAGCTTCGACAAGGTCCCGAGGGTGATTGGAGACATTGAGTCCGAATGGACCACGTTCTCCTCTTCCATCTTTTTTACAGCTGATATTACACTTCTCTGACAGTCAGGTGGAGACAGACGGGTCATCACAGCTGAGGTGATGGAGGAGACACAAAAAGGTAAATTGTACTTAATATAAACAATGACGACATCAGTTACTATCAGCTATTAAACAGTAAAATACCACTCACCCTTTTTGTAGGAGTACAAACACAAAAGGGCAGAGAAGAAAGTTTATATCTCATCTTGATCTATTGACTAACCTGAGTGAAAAGGTCTCAGTCTTTTGTCTCCCTTGACAGACAGGACTTACGTCTCATTGGCCAATGCAACGTTACGATTTCCTGTGAGGAAACATAGGCACACACTCACAAAGTTTTTCAGGCGGTTTTTGTTGTAGAAGACCTGTGGAGAATGTGGCGGCTCTTTATCTTTACATGTCACCTTAAATCCTACTCAAATTGACATATTTTTTCCTCCCAAACCACAATGTTTATGTAGTGTAATGTACTGTGTATCAGATGTAACTTGCCCATAAGGTAAAGTCTGAGTTGTTCTTGGGTTCTGTTGATAACTAAACTCAAGTTTACAATTTGGGATTTGGATAACGTGTAACATGGGGTTTAGTTCAGTTTATTGCACTCATATGTAGATTTGGTTTGCAGAACCAGGGGACACATGTAGTCCACAAAGAACAGCCAATGTAGAACATATTATATATACATAGAGATAAACATAAATAAATAATAGATCATTTCTAACCCAAATAAAGATGTTTAAATTAAATCCTGAAAAGATTCAATTCAAAAGAAAATGAAATATATCTTCAGGAATGAAACTGGTTCTGGTGACCATTGTCTTTGACCTCAGAACGTTTAATCTCCGAGGGCACAGGTGCAATTGGAGTAATCCAGCCTCACCTTATATTAGTAGAGCCGGGATCAAGAAGAGAGGAGAGTGAACAGAGTGCATACTGAAAACTTACTGAACGTAAAAAGCAGAGCACGGCGCAAGAGCGCACAACATTATTGAAAAAATAAAGCCTGTCATCTGTGTCAGTGTTTGTGTCAAGGAAGGACTCACTCACATACACATTGTTAAACCAGTTGGACA